TGGTTGTCTATGTCTTCAGCTTTATCTTCGATATCAATGAAGGTTCTTGTGGCGTGAGTTTTCTCTTCTTGAAGAATACTTGTCTCTTAAGAGTTACAATACTTGTTCAACGATCACTAAACAGGCTCAGTGATGATTGTCGAAACTGAATAAAGAGAACTAAGTACTTTTCATTAGATAAAAAGGATCATCATCAAATTACTGAGAGAGAGGATCTACAAAGTGATTCTCTTTTAGTCATCGACCTGGGGAATAAGCGATTAAAAAGATTTCAAGATGAACTCCTATTGAAAGATAGCAAAAGAAAAGTTGATGACTTTTGATCCATTTTTTATACAACAGATCTCCAAAGATCAAAATAAACAAGCAAATACTCTAGCTAATCTAGGATTTGCCTGAGAATGTTAGACTCCATAACTCCTTATTTGTAAAAGTAATGAAAAAAAACAAATGTGAAGGACCAGAAGGTCGATGGAAGACTTGGCATTCCTCATTTTTCCTTTTCCTTTTTCTGAAGTTTTCATAGGTTGGGGCCTTGAAGGCTTGAGGTTTCTTATCCTCAATGATCTCTGGTGATTCGCTGACTATTACTTCTTCAGATTCATAATCAAGAAAATCTCTTGTGTATTTCTCGAAATCAAAATGCTCATGGATGTTTGTGGGAGGAATGGGTTTAGAGGTTGATGGTTCAGAGCGATCTCCTATTCCTGCACCACCCCCTTTGATACTTGATCTAGCGAAGGGGTCACACATCTACTTCTCTTACTCGGCCTCTGAATCCGAGGAAATAGAAGTTGATGTCGAAACATCAAGAGATAGCTCCTCACTAGAGGGCTATCGAGGACATGATGGAAGTCCTTCATTGCCCACCTTCACATAAGGCAATGAAGGCGCCTCTAGAACTGAGGCACAACCTACAGCATCTGTTGATGTAGGGGTTACCCCCTTGGCTGAGTTAGTCACAAAGGCAAAGTTCCAGGCCTTTGCTGACTCGACTCAGCGGTCCTTGGATGACCTTAAACTCACCTTGACAAGGATTGTCGAATCCACTCCATCGATCGACCTTACACCCATTCGACAATCCCTTGCTTCCCTCGAGGACCATGAAAAAGACAAAACCACCCTCCTCCAAATGCTTCAACAAACCATCACCCAACAACACAACACAACATCCACCTTCTCCACCGTTCGCAACCAAACCATGATGAACACCCTCACAACCCTCATGGCCCAGGAAACTACGACTGATGAAGCCATCGCCTCCATCACCATCCAACTAAACACCATAACCACTAACCTCACCACACTTCCAGCCACCATACTTGCCCAAATACCTCAACCAACCCCTCCTCCATCCCCCTCTGCAGCTCCATCGTTCGATGAAGCATTTACATCCTTTGCTGCAGAGGTTAGGAATATGATAGCCTCCATCACCATCCCACCACCCGCATCCACCTCAACCTCCATCCCTCCCCCCGCCTCACCATCCACCACCTCAACAGACTTTGTAACCAGAGCCGACATGAGAGCACTCTCAAAGGCACTTATTTCATCGTTCAATGAGATAAGTGCAAAGTTCGTGACCAGAGCAATGGAGCCAACCAATGAGTTGAAGAAGAGTCTAATCCAACAGCAAGACGTACAAACACTCTTCTTCACATAATGGAACAACGACACAAAAGAGAGCAAGTGCATACGCTTACCGAGCGCATGAAGATATGGAAGAAGCGCAAAACCTTCTGCTCATCGAGCCGCCCCCTTAAGAAGTAGAGGCATGAGGATCCTAACCAAGATGATCATGGTCTAGGTCCACATGAGGGGGAGAACATGGCTCAACAACCAATGGAAACCGCTGCACCACCACCACCACCAACTCAAAGCCACCAAATCTCAACATCCCAAGGAACTCAAGCTAAGGAACAAGAGGCTCAGCTCTATGAAGATGTACATAATGTACATGTTCCTATAGCTAGCACCCAAGAACCCACACCCAAAATCTATAAGTTCTTACCAATCGAGGTGAGTTCTTCATCCGATGAAAACCCACCTACCCCTCATCCAGAAATTAACCAACCCTTTACTCCATCACCAACACTTCCTCATATAGAACCTTCCATCGCCCTACCTATTCAACCAGAACCCATCATAACTCAACCTACCTTACCTCAACAACCACCAACTCAAACAGAGCCCATTGAACCAGAAATACCTCGACAAGAGACAACCCAACCTGAACCATCACAACCATAACCCATACCATCACCTCAACCCACAACCCATACACAACCCTTAACCCACACAGAACCCTCAACCCAAACACAACCCATCACCCAACATCAACCATCCATAGCCCAACCATCACAAGTACCAGCAGACATCCCTTCCTCATCAAGGCATCCTCCTCAAGGCGTAGTCGATGAGATTATAGCCAACTTTGAGTCGCTGAGGAGACGTCCAGAGATGCCACCAAATGAACCAGTAATGATGGAGAATATCCATCAGTACCTTTACCACGATCGTGATGAAAATTTGGTGCTCAATCCTCCCATGCTATCACCAGAGTCGATGAATCTCTTACGCCATAGGTTCATAAAACAGACGACCTCTCCACCACAAGCTGTCTTCTCGAACGATGGAATCAAGACGGTTCTAGACATCAAAATGAGAATCTTCACTAATCGAGTAATCAAATATATCGAGTACACCGTGGGACGAGCCCATGGGATGGTCATCGTCTTTAATGACAATGACTTGATCAATCTCAATCCATGGGACTTGATTGATCTATATAGACATACAGCTCAACGACAGGATCAAGGGATCAGATTTGGGATGGCAAATCGAGCGATAGTACAAGCGATGGAAACCTTGGTAAAGTTTAGATCAAAGAGAGACTTTCAAATCGCTCTTGAACTCGGCGTTGAAAGACTCTCCTGCACTCCTCTAGACGAAGACTTTCCAGGCCTACAAGAGAAGAAATCTGTTAGATCCCATAATGCAAAATGTAAAAAGTAATGAAAAACAATAAGTGATGAAGAACCAGAAGACCGATGAAGACATCAAGGCAGAAAAGACTAAGTCYGGATCGATGGAAAGACTAACCAGAGCATCGATGGAAAGACCAACCATCGAACCGATGGACCAAGTACAACCAGCGGATCGATGGATGATGCGATGGA